GGGATTATTCTCTGATATTCTTTTTTTTTTGTTTACATTTGCATTATTTGAAAAGAAGTTCTTAATGTAAATGATTACACCAAAATTTAAATACCAGTAACTGTTTTAACTTTTTCTTTCAAGTTACAATAAATGGAATGTATAAAATAAACATGCCAGTAAATAATGCAAGAAGCTTAATTAAAAAAAAAAAAGTAAATTTTCTCCATTTTATATTGAACCAATGTGGTCAGTATGTACAGCATAATGGACAGTTTTGTCCTTGCATTCAAACAATTACATCCAACAAATTATGCATCTTACCAACTAAATTTTTTTAAAGTAAACTAGTTTCTTTTGTTCTTTTTTTTTTTTTTTAAATGGTCATAACATTTGTATTTCAGGTAATATTTTTAGTTGAATAAATAATAATAAAAAAAGCCTCTCTCTCACTCACACACCAAAAATTAAATATATATTTAAAATCACATAAACCTCAATAACTTGAATTTGCTTTGAGAAATTTTTGTCAAATTTTAAACAATTAATTTAGACATTAAAACAAAGTGTGAGTTAAATTTTTATGTAGTTTCACATGTTTTATTAAAGTTATTGGATTTCTTATAAAACTGCAGTCTGAAGTGTTTATGCAAAACCAGAAAATCATTTTTTACTTCTATAACAAGGTAATAAAATCATCAACATTTGTAACATAACAAATATATATAAGTCTTCGAAGCATATACATCTTAATATAGTGACCTTTCTCAATAACAGCCAGCAATCAATTATCCATTGATTTTGATAAATCTTTTACATCAGCATATTCAATTTCTGACATGACAGTTTTGTTTCCCATAGGTCTTCTTTGCTGTCATATTGTTTGCCATCTTCATATAATTTCATCTTCACAATTGACCATAGATTTTCAATCATATTCAGATTGTGACTTGATGGTGGCCATTCCATTATCTTCACTACTTTTACCCTAAAAAAAAAAAACTCAAAATTTTGGCATCATCATCTGTGTGTCTATATATATATATATATATATATATATACACACACATAATCACTTATACTTGGAATAATAATTTAGTACTTATCTTTTATTTCATGATTTAAAGTTGGGTTCAATTCTGAGATTTTCATCTTTAATGTATGGAGAGCATGCTATATCTGTTGGTTGCCTTCATCCTCTCAAGAATTGGACATTTACTGGCAAAATTCTTGTCTACATATTTACTAAGTGAAGCTTATCACAAGTTTGATATAACCAGTAAACAATATCAATTGTTTCCTATAAAGGAGTGCTGAAAAGATTTGGGTTCAACACTCTTCCCTAAATCTGAACAAATAAGCAATTTTAGGTGGTGGTCAAGAACTTTCAGCACCATCCCCTGATACTTCTCCAAAGCAAGGTGCCCCAAAGAACCTGTTTGATCAAATTTAGTTGTCAAATACAGTGCCATGCAAAAGTAAGTGAACCCCTAAGATATATTTTTAAAAAATGTCTCTTTTTTCCACATAATCAACAAATCTTAATTAAACTAAACATTCATTAAGAAAAAACATTTATTAAATCAATTACCATCATTTTAAAAAAAAAATTATCAAACTGAAATAAAAAATATTAATTAATAATTAACATGTGCAAAAATAACTGAATGCTTACATTTAATATTTGGTGACTGCTTCTTTTGTGGTCAACCAGTCTTTTTCTTTAATTTTTAAGAAGTTTCTGGCAGGAATGAGTGCTGATTTTTGACCATTCTTCTTGGTAAAACTTCCACAATTGCTTGATATTACCTGGGTTTCTTGCATGCATTGCCTTCTTTCACTTGAATCACAGATTTTCAGGAATTTCTCTAAGTCATTCCAAGACTTGAAATTGTTTTTTACAAACTCATTCTTATGTGGATTTGCTTTGATGCTTCAAATCATTGTCCTGTTGAAAGTTCCAGTCCTGACTTAAACCTAACTTTTGAAGTGAGGGCAAGACACTTTCATTTAAAATTGGTTGGTATCTTGCAGAGTCCATTGTGCCATTGATACATACTATTTTGCCTCTTCCAGCTGCCACAAAACATACCCCCAAATCATAATGCTGTCACCCCCATGTTTAATGGTTGCTATCAAATTTTTCTCGTCAAAAGCCATATTAGAAGCACACCAGATATATCACCTATTGTTCCTTCCAAAAAGCTCTTGTTTGGTTTCATCCAACCATAAAACCTTTTGCTAAATGTTTCTAATTTATTAATATGAACTTTGACATAGCTGAGGCAAGCATGCTTGTGCTATTTTGTAAGTAGTGGCTTTTTGTATGCATTCTGCCATGAAGATTGGCATTGTTCAGATATTGTTGCACTGTAGATGTATACACATTGATTTTGACATTGGGGGTTCTCCGATGTTCCCAGCCAAAATCATGGCAGTATTTGCCTGGGCTTGCTGAACTAGATTTCTACTTGCTCTTATTTTTCACTGACAGCCACTTCTTGATTGTCATGCCATCATACCAAAGGCCTTCCATTTGTTGGAGAAGTGCACTCCAAATCAAATCATTTTGATAGCTTTTTGTAGCCTTCATCATTATAGATTTCAACTATACGATTTTTTAAAGCTTCAGGAAGTTTTTTGATCTTTGCATATATATTTTTAAAAATTTAGTCTCTAACTGTACACTTTTGCATACACATTGAGTTCATATTGTTTGACTGCTGTATACACAGCTTACAAAAAAAAAATGAACTCGTGTCATTTTGATTTTTACACATGCACAAAAAATTATTTGCATTGGCAACCATGTAAAACAAAATTTAAAAAAATTTTTTTTTTTTTTTTTTTGTGCCATGTGTGATACATGCTTAGGCAATCATGTATCTTCTGATACATGACTGACGAAACAGATTTTTTTCCCACAGTAGGTTGCCATTTCTTTCTGCGGTAGACTAGTTGCCATCCAAGGCTATAGAACTCAGCCTGTCCTGCTATTTACCCATAGCGGTGGGGGGGGAAGAAGAGTATTCATACCTTTCCCAAGGGTATTAGCACGTAAATGAATGTAATGGATTTGACTGGAGTGTAAATGTAAGGAGTGGCTTACTTTTGCACATCTTAATTTTTGATTAATATTTTTATTCCAACTAGATACAAATCTTTCCAAGTGATTGTAATTGAATTAATAAATGTTTTTCTTAATGAATGTATAGTTTAAGATTTGTTGATTATCTGGAGAAAATGAGACAATTATTTTAAATATCATCTTAGGGCGTTCATTTACTTTTGCATGGCACTGTATGCTCTAAATATACCTAATGAGCAATCACTTTGGTCAGTCTATCCTGTTATAGAAAGTAGAGGAAAAAATACACTTTAAGGAACATTAAAGTAAGCACACATATCCTTTGTGAAAGAAACAACTTTTCAGTCACATATAGATTAGACTATAAATAAACATATTTTTTTTGTTGGTCTGAATGAGGTATGAAATGTCTTGTTCCATTTTGTGGCTTGTATAGTTTAGTTTGTCAGATTCATTCATTTATAGAACCACAAAATGATTAAAGATTTACTAAATAAAACCTGAATTCTTTGCTCCTGGCTAAAAGTGCATCTAAACAAAAGTATCACCTACTATTTCAAGTGTCTTTATCATTTAATTATTGTAAATTTGTGAATAATAATGGAATTAGTTTTAGAATGATGAAAATTTGCAAAATGTTTTGACAAGTACCTCCTCCTTATTCAAATACACAATGTTTTTCTTATCCAACTAACAATAGTGCCTAATTGCTTGAACCCAGATATTGATTTACTGATTAACCGAGGAAAGCCAGAAAATAAAAACCTGATTTCCTTTTAGTATTAACTAGATATATACAAAACAGCCCCAAACTCTCTTCTCTCTAGAGATGGCTTGATAAATTTACTCGTCTTGAAGGGAAATTCATTTGAAACTCGAGAAATATATACTGCTCTCCTCCTCTTCTTGATTTTTTTTTTTTTTTTTTTAATTTGATTGGATGGTCGAGCAAGACAGTCTCTCTCAGTTTTTGTTTGAAATCAACTTGAACTATTTATCTATTCTGTTATATAAAATGCAATATGTCTTTATAACGGAGTGATGAAAAGTTCTTGGTCTGACCAAGAAAGGAATCACTCTCAAAATTCTCATGTCTCATCATTTAGTCAGTGTTTGAGAAGTGGGTAAAGCCATTTACCTCCTCCCCTCTGTATAACTTTAACAATCATGCAGCCTTTCATTATAATAGGATATGCATTAACACTAATAAATGAACTTGCTTTATGTTATAATAATGGATTATCCGCATTAACAAATGGGGAGGGGGGCAGCCTTGTTTTTTGGGGGTGTTTATGTATGAACTTTTTTATTTTTTTTTATTTGGGGGGTATAAGCTATAAACCCAGTTACTCAACCACATGTATAACTGGTAATATTTTCTTGCTGATTAGAAATAAGAAACTCCCAAATAATATATTTGTTATTTTCCTGCTTCATAATGTATTGCAATGTTGGAAAGTCTACACACTTTTCATGATGTAATTGTGATGTTACATAGTTTGAATGCCATGGCCAATAAAGAGCTTTAATGATTGTCAGGGTTTTTGTTTTAGGCTTTGTATTACATTTTCATGTTTCCCAAATGAATCTGGTTTTTATTTCTTCTATGAAAGACCAAATTACATTTCAACAATGTCCTGATTTGATTTCTCCTGTTTAAACTTTTCAGCAATTTGTATTTATCCAAATCATTAACTTCTATACAGTATCAGTTTAACTTTTGACCACAAACAATGAGTCAATGTCTGTGCACCTATATGTTCCTTTTCTTACCTATTCAAGAGTCTGCTCTATTTTAAGTTATTTTTAAAAACTTTATAATACAAATATAAACAAACGACATAATTGTCAGCTATTAATACAAGCTGTGATCATTTTTTTTGTTTAAATGCCTGTAGAATTCCTAACCTTGTTGTTTTTTTTTCCTCTCTAGGGAAAAACCTGGAACTACTTTGCCGTCACCAGATTTCAATAGTAGTTTTCTCCATTCAACTACAGCAGCAAACTTCAGTTCTTTGAATCTGGGTCCCAAACCTCAAGGTGTCTCTGGCAGTTCAACAACAAACACAGAATATAGCGAGATGTTTGCTCGCTGGAAGAATGAAATGCATAGAAGTATTAAAAGACACCTTGAAGCACGTGAGTATTGATGTATTTTAAAAAGAATTCTTTGGATTCAATTTACCTGTGATGTGCATTCATTTCAAGCTTTGCCAATAGAAGCTGACTACATCTGTGTTATTTACAGTTTATCCCCAAAATTTGCCAACTACTTTCATTTCATTATTTACAGAATATTTTATTAAATTTCTATTTTATAATGCTGACACACTGCTAGCATAAAATATACCAGCAATATAAGGAGGTGATTTAAGGAGTTGAAAGATCAATATGGAAATGAATGTAAAAAAGAATTTCTGATGCCCTTGAAATGGGTGAAATCCTTGGATCAGTGCATACTTTCAATAAAGGGACAAAAGACTCTCCTTTGCTTACATTGTGTTTAAAGATTTGAGGAATATTCTCTCTGTCTTCAGAATGTCTTCTGAAGTTTCCAATTCCTTCTCTCACCAGAAATGGGGATTACACAAAATGTAGTTGTTGACCACTCTGTAATCATTGTTTGTTTGTTTGTTTTTTGGTGGGGCCTAAGCAGTTGATTTTAACTTCGGGTTTCTCTTTTTCCTTCTGTCCTTTTAGTCTCAATACAGGCAAGGTATTTGTTGTGGACAGACCATTTGCTATCAAATTCTTGTTAGTTTATAGTTTCAGAATTTTAGAACTTTTGAGAATGTGACATTTGGCTTCTTGTTTTTGGCTAGAATTCTTCAAAAAGACACACTAATTTCTCAGGTCATAGCACAATATTCTCTACTGATCAATGCACTGGGATTCAGACAGCAACTTAATGGTTTTTGTATTGGGGCTCTGAATTCAGCCGAATCCTATTGCAACTCACTGAATAGCAACTCTGCCATCTTTTGAATAAGAAAATCAAGGCATTCCTATACACCTCATTTCACCCAACTCAAATATTCACATTTTGAATGATTTTTGATACAAATGAAGTTTGTTTTTTTTTTAACACTTTAATGTTTTTCAAGAGGCATGAGTTCCTTCAAAAATTCTATTTTGGGGAAGAAAAAAATCAGCATTTGACAACATTAACTATCTACAGTAGCTGCTGTAAAATTTCTTTGAGGAATTCCTTAAGTAACTGAAGCATTGTACAGATTAGAAAATCAAAAAATACATTGTCATTTCTAAATTGGCTCCTGTTTTCAAATGACACTTTTATTTTATTCAGCTTTTATAGCAGAAATTTATCATTTAATAAAACTGTTGTTTGCTCTTATTAGCAAAATTAAAATTAAATTGTTTGTTTTTGCTGCTATTTTTGTTGAGGCTGCTTTAAATAATGATGACAATTTGTGATTTTTGTAGAACAATTTAAAAGAATTAATAGGTTTTATTTTATGCATATGCGAATTTCTTTTTTTTTTTCTTCCCCTCCCCTAAATCTTTCTCAATGTATTTATACTGATAAAATACTTTTACTGTTATGACCAATGAAATTTACTGAATGAATTACAACAAAGGGATGAATATGGATAATTAAAATGTTTTTTTTTTTTTTTTTAAAGCTCCCTATGATCATCCAGAATCAACATTCATACCAACATTAAACAACACATATCCATCACCTGTCAGGTGTAAGTAAAATTCTAAGATACTTATCTTTATTCCAGCCTTACCATGTTGCACAATAATTAAAACTTTTATTCCAAGTCTCAGTATTAGGAGAATTCTATTTCAACATTATTTTAATTTCCTGTGTTTATTAATTTGATAAAATATATTGAGGATAAGTGTGACAAGTTTACAGAAACTGGTAGATTTACTACTTTTATTTTAATAAAAATGGTATGACACTTTAGCTGTCTATTTCATGAGATGGTCAGTTCTAAAGAAAAGTTATAAAATTGTGTGTGTGAAATGCATTTGGGCAGCAGTTTTTCATTAATGTAGATTTGGATGAAGACCAATCAAAGTTCTTTTGTTTTAATAATTCCAATCACCTTCCCCTTGAAGTTGTCCAATTTCTTAGCACTTTCAGCTGTTGCAATTCTTTCTTTTCAAGACAAATGTAACCTAAGATTTGGGATTTATTTTATGTAATTACATATCAGCTTTAAATATCATGTCTTAGTTTTTTTAATTATTTTTATTAATGCTAAGTTTATCAGATAAATGGCAAGTTAGGATACAAAAATCATGTATAATTTCAATAGAGAAACATTTTTCCAGGGTGTAAAAAAAAAAAAAATTCATAAATAATATTAATTTATGGAAGTTATTGTAAAATTTAGTTTAAAGCATGATGCATAAAATAAATTCCAAACATAAGCTCCAAAGACAAATAAATATTCCCTTTGTTTAACAATGGCTCATGAAAACTGAGGGTTACTGTTCAAATGACAATGATTGTAGAAAGGGAATAGATAATGATTTTGTACATGGTCATCAGAAATGCAACATTCTGAAACCCCTATTGAGGTTTATGGTAAAAAGCTGCAAGTTATAGATAAGCTTATGTACTTGGTAAGACAAATCCTCAAATGAAGTTGAAAACTTAATATTAAAGTTAATATTAAACTGTACAGTTTAATATTAAGTGAATTAGATGTTTTGACAGACAGAAAAAGCATCTGACCTAGACAATATTCCACTTGATGTGTGGAAAGTACAAAGATCATTCTCTTAGATTTGTTGGGTTAGTCTACAATCGAATGAACTGACAATTTCAGCTTCATCTCTTTTTCTTTTTTTTAAAGAAAAGGTGTCTTGATATTGTCAGAAATTACTCTATATTTTGATGCATTAGATCTTTTGGTGGAAACACTTGTTTCTGTGACATCCATAGGGGTGTGTCCTAGAGGGTGAGATAGAAAATCTCTTGACATAGTCTAGACTGATAGCAAAAATCACTTGCACCAATTCTGAGTACAAACTCAATGAATTAAGATTCACACTTTCAGGACAGCAATATTGTAAATATCCAGCTAAAAAAAAAATAACTGACACAGATGAAGCAGATAAACTGTTGCACAGGTCAGTCTTTATGTAAATTCTGGAAACTTTAAAAAATGGGGACACATATATAAATAACCTAGCTGATGTATTTATAGACACAAATTAAATTTCCACTATAAACTTGTTTTAACTATGATTGATTTCCAAAATTAAGCAATATCAATCACATACTTAAAACTTACAATAATTTGAAAATATACATTTCTAAAAGTTCCTTATTTCTCCCTTAATGACATACAATGTCTATTGGTTTCTTTGGAATCTTTCTTGCATCCTATTTAATCTAATGTAATTTCACCTCTTTTTTTTTTTTTTCCATGATTTAACATTGTGCAAATTTTGTTCTTTTTCAGATCCGTCCAATCAGCCGTTAACAGTTGCAAATATCTCCTCATCTTTAACTAAATCAAAAGCAGAATTACTTTCACTCTTAAATCGTAAATACTGTTTATAATGATATATTTAAAAATGAAAAACAGATTTAAATGTGTACCTCCAAATCTATTAGTTTCCATCATCTGAAACTGCCATCTCTCTCTTAAATAATGATTATTTTTCAATACCATAAAATCTTTTCATTTAAACAGGTTTCTATTTGCAGCTGCAAAAAACAAAGGCGAATCTTAGTTTTCTCAATGCAGTGACAAAATAAACAGTCCAGAAATAATATATTTCCAAAAATATCTTTTATTGAAACAAAGCAAACTTTATGCTTTTTAAGAAAATTAACTAGAATTTGGTTTTGCACAATGAAAAAGTTGATGTCAGCAATTAGATTTCTTATAGAGATTAGAATGAAAATTTATGTGAAACTTTTATTACATTTTGTTATTACTTTTCTGATATAGAAAGGTTGCATGCTCACATACACTTGTCCATTTTCATATCTCACAAGTATCAAATCATTTATAAAGCCATGACTATATTGATTAATGAGGTGGGAAGGATTTATCAAAGTTTTTTATATATATATATATATATATATACACACACACACACTGATTAACTTAGCAAAGCTTAGATGTGGTACAAGTCTAAAGCAGCCAATGAGGCTCAAACTCACTACTCAGTCATAATTGATATAGTGATGTATGCTTGTTAATCATTGCATTACATACCCAAGCTATATATATATATATATATATATATATATATATGCTTGAAAATTGTTAATGTCAGATTTTGATTACTATTGTATTAAATATAGTTTATTATATATTAAATATTAAGCTCTGCTGACTTTGGCATTGAGCCTTCAGTTTATCTTATGTTTTGAGCTTATTGCTTATATTATTGTTTGTGTATATATATATATATATATATATATATATATATAAAAACTTTAAATGTTATTTTCAGTGGATATCTATATTTTTGCAGACACTCCATTTATTTTAAACAGTATTTTATTTCATCTACTGACCTGAATATTTGAGAAATCTTATTAAAGAAAAAGATGTGCCTCTGGCAAGATTTGAACCTGCATCCCTCTTTGCAGAAGAAACTTTAACCAACTCAGCTATGAGGAGAATCTTCATTAACTGTCTTCTCATTTAGTTTCCCAAATGCTCATAATCTAAAGAAATAATGGATTATTTTTTTTATAAATATGGGTGCATGGCAGAGGGATAAGAATGTTTGCTTTCTGACCCTGATGAAACCCCAGGTTCTGCTGGTTGCTTTCAGGACTGTTGAGACAATCTCAGCAGGTGGCACTGTTGAAAATGCTTGAAAACCATACAATGTGTTGGCCCAAACCTTGTGAGTGAAATTGGGTAGACAGAACTATTCAGAAGAGATTGATGCTTGTGCAAGCACAAAGCCACACGTCATCATTACTGGCTGTTGGTCATGCCAGATTATGTGCTCTTTCCCAGAAATTATAACTAAGGTCCCCTCAGCATAGTTCAGTATAAACCACGGGTGGGCTGTGTTGAACAAATGCAATAATGCCTGAACAGGCTTTATTAGTTGTATTGAATAAGTGACACCAATTAATTAGATCAAAATAAGAAGTCCACTTTAACTGTGGCTGAATCCTCTGCTCTTTAGTTAACTCCTCCCATCAATCAGAGGAAACCTGCTTTACCCATTGTTATTGAGAATCGCTCAGTTCCTTCTTCAATATCAACCGAGAAATTAGCACAGATAAGATCTTCAAGTACTACTTTCGTAAAAATTTTATAATTTCAATCTGCTTCCCTCTTCCATTTCGCCCAGATTTTCATTGTTATTGTGTTCGGAAAGAGGGGAAAAATATCTTGCAGAAGTTGAATATTTACAATTCACTTTATAAAATGTGAAGACTACAATTTCATTTTTAATGTGCAGTCAATCCATAATTGAGAATTAAGTAAAGGAAAGATTCTTTCTGTTAAATTTAAAAGTGTATTTGAGCTTCTTGAGTGCTTTTTGCATAACATCAGTCATAAAAGTTAGTTTTTGTTGGTTAAGAATAATAGCCCCCATCCACAGTCTTTTTTTAACTAATACTATCCTGTTCAAACTAATGAATCCTATTCACAAATCAGATTATATTTGAGCAGTGCATTCTCTGTGTGTGTGTGTGTGTGTATATATATATATATATATATATATATAGAGTCCTTATTCATATTTAGTGACTACAACAATTTCATCTCCAATGCAAAGATTATTAAAGTATAAAAGAAATAGAAATCTCTTTTCAAATACATAATAGAGAAAACTTAATACTTCCCACCAGATGGAAACTGACACATTATTTGATGCTACATTGAAAACTATAAACAAAACAAACTTGGAAAGGAGACAGATTTTGCTCAGTTATCAAAATTCATTTGAAACATTGGCAGATGTGCCCTTATATATATAATATAGGAACAATTCCCTCTTCATAAAAAAAGGCCTCTATTAGTTTTGTCAGTCTAGTATTAGTTTTACATTTTCTCTAATGCCCTTGAGTCTTCTCAAAAGCTATTGGTAAATAGCAGGACAGACTGTGTTCTATAGCGCTGGGAGGCAATTGGTCTAGAAAATAAAAAAATAAAAAAACTCTGAATTCAGATCCAGATCTGAAATCCCTAAGACAGTCAAGGGCAATTTCCTTGTGGCAACATTGGTGCCAAGCTGTATTGGCATCTGCCTTTCCCTCGGACAGCATCAATGTCTCATTAAAAAAAAATATAAAAAACCTGCTCAGGCCTGTGCCCTAAAGAGGGCATAACTCTTCACATGCAGATCCAGGGTCTCCCTAGACTGGCAGATGCTATAATAATAATAATAATATATATATAATGTGTGTGTGTATGATAATTATGCGAGTTTTCATATTTGCAGAATTGTAAGTTTGTGGATGATTTTTCTGAATAGTGATGTCTTAAAAAGATATATACCTGCTACCTGCCCCTTAAGTACAGATCTTTCACATCTCATGACTTTCCTGCTCAGTAAAATCTTCAAACGCAATAATTAATTTCTCACCATATTCTCCTACATTTAACATTATGTTCACTTTGGGAATTTTTCTTTTCCGTCCAGACACAGAATCCGTCCATTAGAGTTTGTAAAAATAAGAATATGTTCCTTTTAATAATAATCAACTCTTGTAAATCTATTTTTTTTTGTTGTGTTTTAAATATATGAATATTTAATCTGCTATTGTAGGGAATTATTCATTCTTAAACACATTGACTCTTTATTTAATGAGCTACAGAATTTCTCATTCTAAATTGACACTGTTACTTCCAAATTAAATTGACCTGAGTAGGAAAGGAGTTAAAAAAAAATAAAAAAATTTGTACTGATTTCACATTTCATGGAACAGGTAAAAACATTTGTTTTTGTTTTTTTGAATTCCCAATTACTTTTTAAACTTGGCATATGAGCTTTAATCAAACTTGTTAAAGGAAATCTAAATATTTTTTTTTTTTGGAAAGAAATGCCTAATTGATAGATTTTACTATTGAAATATGTGCTCCCTGATTCTGCTACTTTCAGATTTACAGAACTGATAGAAACTGGGAAGGTGGTACACACTTTATTCTGTGTGCCGTATTGACTTTGAACAAAGTCTCTCTCTCTCTCTCTCTCTCTGTGTGATGTATATTCATTTTTGTTACAAGTAATAAAGACTTGGGGTTGAATAATTTCTTGAAATTTTTCATTGCTGTTATTTTTCCATTTGATCAAAATCCTTCCATTGATTTTTTTTTGGTGTGTTTAATTTCTTTTTTTGCGGTAGTGGGGGTGTCATTGGGTCAATTGTGTCTCAGATTTTGTTTTGGTACAATCGTTTCATTTGTTAACTTCAAAAGAATTTACTTGTTTACAGTCATGGTTATTTAACAAAAGATTGCATTTCCTTCTAAATGTAGCAGCAGTTTTTTTTTTTAAATTTTACATGGGGGGGGGGGTCCTGAAATAAGCTCCTCAGTTAATTTACTTACAACTTTTAATAAAATTGAGAAGAATTTAGGAATGTAGTGAAATATGAAAGATCGGATTCCATGTTTGTTTGTTTAAAGGAATCTAAAATCATAAAATATATTTAGATTCCTAATAGCAATGGAAACTTTTCCTAAAATGTTAGTTTAATTGACCAAAACATAGCTCATGATGAGCAACTATTTCACTTACTGATTAAGTAAATGAACCGAACAACATGGTGGATTGACTTTCTGCAAATGGTTATTATAAATCATTATCAATCTGTTTTCACTTAACCAAATGTGTCTATCTTAGTTTGTAAGAAAATTGCTCAAATAATAAAATGAATTTTTTTTTGTTTTTTTATAAACATCAGCACATTTTATTTGTTTCTTAAACAACAAAAAGCATTTGTGAATTTATTAAAATGTTAGGAATTATGTCACACACACAAGTAAAGAAATTATATATAGTTTTCCTTATTGGAACGTTACAACCATGTTCACATTGATAACTTAAGATCGTAAATATATAGTTTCAGTTTTCATACAGTTACTGTTGTGACTGATAATATAAAAATTATTTTAAATGTCATTAGCAAACTGTTTCTGATAAATGCTTAATTACAATCTCTGATACAATTGTAGAAGGGAGTGCTAATTTGCGTAGGGAAATAAAAATCTGGTGTAATCATCAGATTCTACTTAAGAGCACTCAGAATTCGCAGCCCTTAATATTTACATATTGAAAACACTTTCTTTATACTCAGTGCAAAACAAAAGGCTCACAAAAAAATAGAAAAACAGCCCCGCCTGATAAATATAATGAATCAAAAAAATATTTTGTCCTACCAAGTAACTTTATCACATCTACAATTGGAAAAAAATTTGTTTCTACTACATCTAAAACAAAAAAAACAAAACAAAACAAAAAAAAAAAAGCTAAAACTCCATTGCCTGTAATAATTGTCACAAAGAATACATAGGAGAAACCTCAAGGAATCTTAATGAAAGATTATATGAACACAAAAGGGACATTTTGCAAAAC